GGAGTTAAACTTTTTTTTTTTTCAGGCCAGCAATGTGGACAGTTGTAGCTGCTTTATATTCTTGCTAACACTTGATCTTGTCAAACTTTAAAACTTTTACTAACCTAATGATTATAAAAACCACCATTTTATTTTTATAGTTTGTATTTCTCTGATTACTAATTAAGACCAAGCATCTATTCCTATCTTGTCTAACCATCTGAACATCCTATTTGTGATATGACTAATCAAGTCTTTTGTCTACTTTAATTTTACCTTGGTTAATTTTTTCTTTTTCTTTTTGGTACTGGGGATTGAACTCGGGACCTTGTGCTTGCAATGGAGGTGGTGAACCACTAAGCTAAATCCCCGGCCCTACCTTGGTTAAGTTTTCTCACAGTCCTGCAGAAATTCTTTGTATAATTTGGATTTTAATCTTTCGTTAGTTGTAACTCTTGGAATTAGTTTTGACCAGCAGTCATGTTCATTTCACTCTTTATGACAACTTAAGAATGCAAAGGTTCTTAATGTATTGAAAAATTTCAATCTTTTAAAATTTGCATGCTTACATGTAGTTTAAGAAATCTTTCCCCTATCTCAAGATGAAAAAGATACTATTCAATACTATCTCTTAAGAGTACAGTAGCACTGAATTTCATTAAGTTTTAATCTACTAGGGTTGATTTTTATGTTTGGTTTAAAGAATCAGATTTAACTTTCTTCAGCATGTGGAGAGCAGAGAAGTGATCTTTATGATACTCTTTCTATACATAAATGTGATGAAAGATGTCCATGGTTTAATTCCCGGAAACTGAATATAATTTGTTACATGGCAAAGAGGAATTCAAAGTTTCAGATGGAACTAAATTTGCTAATCCACTACCTTTAAGGACAGCATCTTGATTATGCACATGGGCCCAATGTAATCATTAGAATCCTTTAAAATGGAAGAGGGAGGCAGAAAAGGAAGAGCCTGAGAAAGATGCTATGCTGCTAGTCTTGAAGATGAAGGAAGAAGCCAGGAGCCACAGTATGCAAAAAACTTTTAATGCTGTCAGAGATAAGAAAATGGATTATCTCCTAATTATACAGAAAAAATGCAGGGTTGTTGCTATCTTGATTTTAGCCCAGTTGAATTACATTTCAGATTCTGATCTCCAGAACTCTAGATAATAAATTTGCATCATTTTAAGATACCCAGTTTATGGTGATTTGCACTAGCAACAAAAGAAACCAATACGTACACTGAATAACTAACTACTATTTTACTATCTAGTCCTTTTTTCCAATGATCAACAAAGTTAGATCAAAAGTATTTGTTTTCTTTCTTCCCACTTAGTTGTGATAACCAAATTCACAAATATCTAAAACATTGTGGCTCATAAATAAGCTCTGGTATCAACAAGTTATTCTCAGAGATTTTTGCTCCAGCCATTGTTCCTCTTGCTCCAGTAAGCTCGCCTAGGTTAAGCCAACATGTGTCATGTAGCAGACTATGCTGTTCCTCCCTGTCCCCTGATCAAAACTCCTACACAAATCTTTTTCTTCTGCATCCTTGTTCTCAAGTCCTTGGGTTATAAATAAAAGGCCAAAAGTTTCTCAGCTACACTGTTTTCCTGAGATTGTCTCATGTTGATGAGTCTCAGTGAAGCAGATCCTCTGAAGCTTTCATCCTCTGCATCTCCACCATCAGACTGTGACAAATCTTATTTTGTATTCTCCATCTTTCTGTTTGATGTTTTATTCCAGGTATTTTCTTCTTACCTATCTTTTAGTTAACTATTTCCTTAGCTGTTTCTATGATGTGTTAAAACCATCTGCTTATTTCTTAGTTTTGGTCATTTTATTGTTGTTTTAAAATTATCACGTGGGTTTTTGTGCATTTTGATTCACTACATACCAAGCACAGTTTGTTTTTGTTAAACTTTTCTAGATAATTGTAAAATCATATGCAATTGTAAGAAAGAACAGAAATCTGTATATCCTTCATCAAGTTTCCCAGGATATCTCATGATGGTAACACCTAGGATACTGACAGATATAATCATGACACAGAGAATTTCTATCATTACAAAGTCATTTAATTTGCTGTTTTATAGCCACATTCACTTTCTTCCCACTTTACTCTTTTTCATTCCCTCAGAAACCAATAATTTTTGTCATTTCAAGAACATATATAAATGGAAGCACACTGTTTATAACCTTTGGGATTGACTTTTTTTCCTTTCTACTCATAATTCTCTGGAGATTCATCGAGGTTGTTGTATCGATATTTCACTGTGTTTAACTGCTGATCAGTATTCTGTGGAATGGATTATCATAATCTAACTATCCTGCTTGTTTAGTTATCTACCCGCTGAAATATGTGAGTTGTTTTTCAGTTTGGTCAAACAGAAATAAAGCTGCTATCAACATTTGTGTACAATGCTGCTATAAACATATGTAAAGTCAGCCTCTGTTGACACCCAAGGTGCCCAGTAGGGGATGGTCCTTATTATTGCTGGGACTTCTGGCTTCCCACATGATCTCCACTGATAGCACAGCAGAGCTGTTCTTGTTACTGCTGGACAATGCTAAAAGTCCTGACTCCCTACTAGGCCCTCTCTGACAGAAAAAGGGGGAGCTTTATTACTGCTGGGTGGAAGACCAAGCTGCTCACATAGTCTCTATGACATTGTGGTGGGGGGGCAGGGTACTTTTTACTATGTGGTGGGGAAGAAATTGCCAGTTTTCTACTCAGCCTTCTCTATTACCCAACAAAAAGGGGTTTTTAGGAAGGAAGACTCTGTAAGCTGGTAAGGATGGAAGGGTAAGCTTTCTCCTTGGCCTTTGTTGGCATGGGTAAGAATGCCATCTTTTTTTGTGTTTTTGGCTAGAATATGGCAGTTCTGTCTCAAAGGTTTCCTGGGGCTGCCCCTTCCCTGAATTTTTGGGTAGAGTGAAGCCTTTTGTTTAGAATCTTTTGTTGTTGTTTATTCTCATTGGTGTTTATAGACTGCTAGCTTCAAGCTCCAATTCTAGTTTATGAGAGAAACAAAAGCAAACAACTACCCCCATCCCAATCCTAGGGGAATCATACTGTGTTGTTTCTTGGGTCCTAAGATTCCTAACCAGCCTGCCTTATTCTGTCTACCATTCAGAATCTTTGTTTGTTTTAATATATAGTGTTCAGAGGCTTCAGTTGTAATAAATAAAAATAAAAATAAAATAAAATAAAAATAATAAACAATAAAAAATAAAGAAAAGTATATCCACTCCATTTTCCCAGTGTGGAAGTCTCTCCAGTGCAGTTATTTTAAGCCTTTCCCCAGATCTGCTAAACACCTATTTTTATAAACATCGAATTATTGTCCAGAGAGGATTTGCTTCTTGCAGATAAGTCAGCAGCAACAATAATGTGAAATACTTTTATCACAGTTTGAAATGATCTGAAGTGTGGCTGTAGTTCATATCAACATTGTTATATTTCAGTTCATTCTCACTTTTACAGTGTGAACCTTTAGAGACCTAACTCTGAGTGTTTTATCTGGACTACACCTGAGTCTTTATCCTAGGCAGGCCACAAACTCTTAACTTTTGTCTCCCTAGAACTATCACTGCATTGAAAGCTTTGCTCGCTCTTGCCTGTCTTTTCTGTTCACTGGCTGATATCTGCCCATTTACAAACTGGCAGATGCTTCTATGTTCGGAGTAGGAGAAAGAAACTCAGAAGAATGCAACATAATAGAAGACAGTGAGGAAGAGACTTTAGAGAAAAAACAATTATCAACATGGTCAAATGTGGCTGAAAGATCAATAATGTTCTAGAATGAAAGATGACATAATAAATATTATCTATCTTTTATGAAGCAAAGGAAGGTAGTAATATAGAGGGTTTGAAAGATTTGAAGCTTTAAGTGAGCAGAAACTTTTAAAAAAGAATGGAAACAAATTTAAGAGGTCTTTAAAGAAAACTAAATTTATGAACAAATTTAAAGTCTAAAGCAGGTAGTTAGTATTTGGATATGAATTTGCACAATTTTTTGACTACTACTTTTCAAAAAGATTAGCATTTTGGTGTGAGCTCAATATAAGGAGGTCGTTTTCAAGAGCATGTGAGAAACTCATTTTTAGACATTAAGATAAAGATATGGCTGTTATCTGTATAGAAATGATATGTGAGACCAGTAGTGTACGCAATACTTATATGTAGTAATTCTATCAATAAAAATACTTTTTTCTCATCTAGAAATAGCTAATCTAAAAATCCTATTTCTGTTAATAAGTATAGATTAGTTTTTGAGAACCTGAAAATTCATTTTAATTTGAAGAATAACTATTATATCAAATGGCTATCCAAATCCTAAAATTATAATTAGCAAAAGTACTCCTGAGGACTGGGGATTTAGCTCAGTGGTTCCACTGCCTGCCTCGCAAGCACAAGGTCCAGAGTTCGATCCCCGGTCCCCCCCACCCCGCCCAAAATGTACTCCTGAAATCTTCCAAGATTTCAAATGTATGCTTGAATACTGAAGTTGTTAAACCAATATGATCAAGCAATTCTCCTACCCCTTGACTCTCTGTATAAGCAGTTGGGGAAACAAACAAACAATATGCAGAGCTATGATCCCAGCAATAGAGACTTGAGTGTCTGAAATTCATTTACTCCACTCTAATCAGTTAAGTGTTTATACTGTACTGCTTGTGAGATATTCTAAAAATACACTCCTACTTATCAGACTATATATTCACTGAATTATTTACACATAACATTTTCATACCTCAAAAACTCTAAAGTATATTCTGCATGTATCACTTTAGCACTAAAATAAAGTTTAAGGGAAAACAAGGAATAATGAAAGTCCACATGTTAAAATGACTAGCCTAGGATAGAGTAGGCTCCATACTTCTTTGTTACTTATATTAATTCAAATTCAGAGCTTGTTTTACTACTAACAATTATCCCTAATAAGTTCACTAGAAGACTAAAAACCACTTCATTTATAATATAATATATTCTTATGAAAATAAAATCCTCATACCATTTGGTAATGCCATAACAATCTTTAATAATATCTTGAAGAACTGCACGATAAAACAGTGATTCAGTAGGGAGCTGAAAAAAAATGCAGACATATATAACCATAAGAAAAAATACAACACAAAAATCAAGTTAATAATAGAGAGTTCAGACCCCTGCGAATGTTAGAAACCTGACTTTGCTGTTATACAAAGATGAGGACTTTATAATATTTTCATTTTAGGTTAAAGTGTTAACCTGGACTAATTCCCACCATGAATGTACTTCTATAAGAAAACAAGAAACCATAAAAGAAATAGTGAATAAGGAAGAAAAGTTGTATCAATAAAAAATGAGCCAGTGCCCCAATTGAGGTGCTTATCAGTTTAAAAATGTAGAAATAAACTTTTTAAAAGTTTATTAGTATATGTGTATAGTACATAATGTTCCTATTCCTTGTGGGATGTTGGTTACATGTACATATCACATCTTAATTGCTTTTCTCATCTCCTTTTCTTTCCCGCTCTCCCCCTATCCCTTGATCCTTTTCCTTTTTTTTCTTTAATCTACTTGTGAAATAAACTTGTAAGACCAGCCTCGTTGGTTCCCAAGTCTGTAGGAGTCAGAAAGAATGTGAGTTGAAAAGCAGAAAGGACATAAAAGCTTAATTTCATGGCAAGATAGCACTTTTAGGGAAGAGATGGCAGGTGTCCCATAAAGGTTCAAATGCTTTCAAAAGGAAAAAAGGAATGGCTGAAGAGAAAGGCCCCATAGAAACACAAGAGTTTCACAGACATAGAGGGTAAAAAAAAACACCGTAATATTTATCAGAGAAAAAAGCACTTTGGTGCAGCAACAGAAGTTTGGTGACAAAAGTCACCAGAACCCCACCCATATTCCCCACAGACCTCTTAATAGTGATAGCACAGGAACACTCAACACAAAATAATATTAGCAACAACTCAGCTTTGATGCAAAGTTACTAATGAAAACAGAAAAGAAAAAGAAAAATGTGCATGGGGGGACAGAGGACAATAATGAATGTTTCTGAGTAGCTGAAACTATAAATTTTCAATGGCTGTCAAAGTTTTAAAGTGGAATGTACATATTTACTGAGTTAGCCTTTTGTAAGTTTTATTTTCCTCTGAAGTCTAAAATTGTTATTTTTACATTTTCAACTAGAATTAATATATTTGAATTCAGATGGAGTTAGCACACAAAAAAACTTCATCTGTGCTCACACAGAAAACCTCCTCTACTATCCCTTACCCTATCTAATATCAAGTTCCCATATTGTGCTGCTGAGACTGCAAGGAAGCAGAAGTTAAGGGCTGAGGGTTGTTAACCATTTTGTCTTGATGGCAACGACCTCTTAAGTCACTGGATAGCATCTGACTTACAGCATCTTAATACAGGACTTTGAAAGAATACAAATTATGTCCCCTCTGAAAGATGGGAATACTGGGATAGCTGATTCCAGGAGGAAATGGTGTTAGGAGTACCACAGTCTCCAACTCAACTGCTGAAATAATTCAATGGAAGTGGACCCATATACATACTTGAGTGCCCACACTTAAATTTATAACCTCCAAAAGGCACAATTTCTATACAAAGAAGAATGGAGAAAAATGGAGACAAATTTACCTATATAAAATCTCTTTGCAAATGCAAATCCTTTATTTGAAACAAAACCTACTAATTTTAAAATTTTCCTTCCTTTGAAAATTACACCATCAAAACACTTAATCTAGAAGAGCTTATCTCCAGATATATTTTCCACTGATATTTTCTCATCTTGACTAACATTTTTTTTCTACAGAACAAAAATCTCTACTTTATCATCTATTTTTCATTTCCTTGAAAATTTCATTTCTCTCAAAAAAATGCTAAAATCTTTTATATATTAAAATCTAAACTTTTAATGTTCTAAGGAACTTCAAGGCCTTTTTTTAAAGTCTATTGTCCCATGAAGTGAAATATTAGTACTATAAACTGTTTACAAGGATCTTAACTTTTTGTTTGAATCCCTATAATAGATAAAAGCTTTAATTTTATGAGACTCCTAAAATCAGTTAAAACTTTTCTCATGCTGTTGAAAAATTATATAAAATTGTGTGAATATAATTTATAAATAAATGTATAGATTATTGAAAAACTGAGTGTAAAATTACAACAGAAAGACTAAGAAATGCATTTTAAGCAAGAGAACAGATGTAAGTGGAATGCATAAAGAAACACAAAGAGGACAGAATAAATCATCAGTCCCAAGTTACCCTGAGCAAATAAGAGCTTTACAGCTGTTTCCTAAGAGAAAAGGAAGAGAGTTACGAAGCGCCTTCCAATGTACATTCTTGGAATAACTAGGGCTATCCATCCTAGTAAATACAGACTGGGGTGAGTGGGAAGGGAGTCAATCTGTGCTATGCAGCTCGTGCTTGACTATTTCCGGAATTAACTAGATAGAGATCAGAATTCACTTTCCCTCACAAGTCATAAATCTACTTACCACTTTCAATGTGTGTTAAAAATGGGAGATTCAGAACACTCTCAATGCATATGTATTAGACAGGCATCTTACCGGTCTAATGGAAAGGGCACTAAGCTAGAAGTCAGAGTTCTGCAATTAAGGGAGCTAGAACACACTATTAAATTTCCACTGTATTAACAAGTTCTCATGTAAGTTTGGAGCAATATCTAATTGATAACACTGACTGGAAATATTGCCAAACATCTGGAAAGTTAAAAAAATACATCATCAAGCACTATTATGATAAAATTTCTTTCTTGTCCCAGATCCAAAGGTGGTATATGGTATAGTGGTTGAGAGCTTGAACTTCAGGGTAAGATACATGTTCAAATCTCAGCAATTGCTACCTTGAAGTTTCCTCATGTATTATGGGATGATAGTACATACCTCATAGTACTATGCATTTATTACCTTAATTGATGAGTAAAACTTTGAACCATACTTTGCTAAGCCTGTGTTAGATTTAAGTATTATTTTCACAATCACAATTACTAAATGTCTGTAATAGAAAGAACTGTTAACATTTACTGAGTACATGAATATGTACTATGTGCTAGATACTGTTTTTTACTAAGAACATACGAAGTGTTAGATATTGTTTTAAGCATTTTACATGTTTCTTTCATTCAGTCATTAACAACCCTATGAGAAAAGTATTGTTCCTGTTCTGTTATTTTTCCTATTTTTTACTGATGAAGAAATTAAGCTACAGAGAAAGTAGGATGTATTATGTATCCAAAGTCACTAAACCAGTAAGTAAGGAGGACAGGACACAAAACAGAAGTCTGACACTAAAACCCATACAGTTAAACAAATTCTAATGCCTGCAAAAACAGTTTTTAATCAAATTTTAGATAGGCACAATTAAGAAATTACACAACAACAATATACAAGGTAGTTAGCAATGTTCCTGGCCCAGGGTAAGCACACAGTAAATTAAAATTGTGTTGCTATTCTTATTTTTAAAAATTCAAATTGACAATATTAACTTTCCTTGAAAAGAAGCAAAAAGGAGATGTGTAAAATTCAGATCCAATAAGAATCATCTTGTGAAAAGCTTTAATAGAATCTCTTAAAAATTCCTAATGTGTCTCACGAATATAAGGTGGACAGTGTAATTATATGTATATTTAGAGAATATATTAAACTTCTGTTTTTATTTGGAAGCCTGTTTGGCTGTTACAATTTATGACTAATAAAATAAATAAAAAAATCAACTGAAATATATATTTTGAAGTATAGTTAAAGAATACACTGAATGTTATATCTTGTTTATCTTTGGTTGAACTAAGTCCATAAAAGCTTTATAGTCAGCAACAACATTCCTTAGAAATACTTATAGGCTATTTAATGTAATATGAAGAAATGAAAGGCTAGTATAAGAGCACAATATGGAAACTTTCTTAAAAGCTTAATTTACTTCTCTGCAAGTTCACTTCACTTTTAAAGTAAACACATAGAACATGTATAGATTTGAATATGCAGTGGTGACAAGTAGAGGTGATATTTATTAAAATCCATCAGGTTTTCAGTTCATCAACAGGTCAAGTTTGAAGGGGGCTTGAGGGAAAAAAAAACTATTGTGTTAATTAGCTAGATTACAGTAAACACTCTCACTTACCCCTTGGCCAACTGCGACCCGGTCCAATGACTATAAAGAGAGAAAACGAGACAAAGACTGATGATACATGTAGTCTTCTAAGATTTATAAACATACTGTAAAGGGTTTATAGCAGTCCCACTTAAAAAGATGAATTAAGTGATAACATGTAAGTTTATACACTTTTAAGTGTTAATATCATTAAAGAATGTTAACTAGTATGCTTGTATAATTTAGGGCTAATTTACAATGGATATGTGTCATATACAAACACATATACACATTAATTATGCATAGTCCTTGAATTTCAGAAAGATTAAAAAAAAGGAAAGAAATGAAATGATGTAGTTTGGACTCATGTTTAATGTAGTTAAACAATCAAATAAATCCAAAACTATTAGTGTGCATACATGAGACATGTAAATATATTTACATACAATATCAACATATTTATTATTTTTAATGACTATGCAATTTAACCTTTAACAAAATGAACAAATTTACTATCCTTATCTATTTAGTATTCTTATCTACTTACCTTTACCTACAATGAAGGCATCCCCAGAAAGGTACCTCTGATTTAAAAAACAAAAAAAGCAAAGCAAAACAAAACAAAATCCCCCTAAAACTGAATGTTTTTCAAAAAGATCAGTTATAGAACAAAGATGTACCAAAAGAAATCCAGGCAAGCAAGGGCTGGGATAGAGCTAATGAAAGGGGCAGTCCATGAGAAGCTGTCAAGGTAAAGAAAATGGTCTACATATTCTACATTTATGGGATTTATTATTTCAAAAAAACTTTTCTTGTATTTTGAATCAAGTTTATTTTTATCACAATTATTTTTGGTTTGAATACAATATATTCTTTTGTCTTTCTAAAGGATATTAATAGTTATTCCAGGTTATTTTATTTTGCATATTTTCCATTTCCACTAAGTTGCTTTTTTTAATTTAAAAAATATAATCTTATTAACCTTAGATAATTAGTGATTCTTGGTGGTCTGCTGGTTGTTAAAATAGAAGTACCGTGAACCTGATTGGAAAACATTGTGCTTATGAGTAAGTACTCCTAACTGTGGGCCTCTCCATAGAGAAACAGATCTATTCTGTTTTACTGCAAAATCACTGCAATCAGTATCTTTTAAGTATTATCTCTCTCAGGATAGTCATCTTCACTAGAAAAGATGATTTCAATTTCTTCCCTGGAGAGTATAAACCTGGCTGTCAGCAATGTGGAGAGCAATCATTCCAAGATTGACCTGTCATTCTAACAGGATTCTGAACAAGCAGCATTTACATATAAAATGAAGCAACAAAACAAACTTCCAGAAAAGTACATCAAGTAGGGCTACAGAAAGTATTATCTGAGCACAAATAGATTTCTAAGGTAATTCTAGAATACTGGTATACTATTTCTTAGGTTTGCTATGTAATCAACATAGAAATAATGGGCCTTAAAGAATTCATTTAACTTCTGGCTGGGCATTAAATATATTACCCCCCAGCTACATTTTATTCAAAAATTCTTATTGTATACATGAACATATAAATATGTTATATATTTTTGATATACAGGTTTTGATATATATGATTACTATAAATAAGTGATTTAACATATCTATTATTTAATAATTATCTTTTTGTGTGTGTGGTAAAAGTATACTCCCAGAAAATTTCTAATGTATAATACAGTAGAATTAACTATAGTCTTCATGCTACAATTTAGATCTGTAGATTTATTCATCCAATATAACTGCAATATTTAAATTTCTGATCACAATCACTCATACAATCTTTTTTTTTTTTATTTGGTACTGGGGATTGAACTCAGGTCCTTGCACTTGTGCACCAGGCGGCAAAACCACTGAGCTAAATATCCCCGGCCCACTCATACAATCTTTTGTAAACCAACATTGTGTCATGAACAAAGAGCACCATGAATTAATCTAGGTCTAAGAACATTAGTCAAATCAACCATAGTAAAGTTTTTATTTAACTAGGTAGTTTATATCCCAGGTAGCTTAATTATATTTTTCCATTTTGTAAAAAATTATGAGATCAAATGATTTCTACAAACACAAAGGTGCCATAAGGGTATATATAAAGAACTAAACTGATTTTGTGTTTAAATTTTGGTACATTTTATACAATTAATTACATGTAAATATTTGTTAAGACACTGCATGTGCAATGGGTAACGTTTGAAATTACAATCATTTTTTCTCATAATCTGCAATATACAAAAGCATTAAGGATGGTGCTCTCCAAAATTTGGAGTTTAATGTCTGGTATAAGCCAAAAATAACAAATTCTGCATCTGTATAATGCATCTGCATCTGCATCTGCTTTTATTCTAGGAAAAATATAACGTACCAAACATGCTGACATTCTGGCATTCTGGCCACAGAACCATCTCTCTTCCTTTAAATACTGGCACATTGGAAATCCCCATTTTTCTTCAGTACAGTCTGCAGATGGGGAGAAATATGGATTATTTAAATAAAATTCTTCCTCTTTGATTTAAGTAAATAATCTACTGAGAAAGCAAAGGAGTCAATGAGAAAAGTCAAACAGTAGTTAAACATGGAAGTGGTGATGTTTAACAGTTCATTCCAGTTTAACTGAAAGCATATTCACGGTATGAAAATGGTATTTGCTCAACAACAGCTGCTCTGTGTTTAAGCTTTACTTCTGATACCAATGAATTTGCCAAAACAATTTCTTTAAGATTTAGTAAAAGCAATTTAAAATGCAAATATTTTTCAAATTTGGTATAACTATAGGAGGTAAGTAATAAAGTACTGGGAATTCATTGTTGACTTGACTTTGTAAAAAAATGACATTAAATATGACATTTGGCAATTTATTACAGAACAGTGAGTTCATTCCTAATAATACTGAAGCATCTTTTTTTTTTACTACTATGCCACTGTTAGAAAAAGAACAGCTGTATAGATTCTTATTTCTTCATTATTTTAAGAGGCTGTAATAGTTTCAGCTGTGATCCAATTTGGCTCAATCTCACTTATGACTCAAGAAATGACAAAAATGAAAGTTCACTGATGGTTCACATATCTATTGCTCAACTCACTTCTACAGTTACAGTTGCAGCTTGTTGACATTTATATCTGTCATACAGAACTAGTTCCACAGGTTTTTGAAAAGGAAAAGAAACCAATTTCTATTTTAAATTAAAATATATTTGAATTTTATAAAAAAGTAATAACAGTAAATTGAAATAAATGTTAATTCCTATTATATTAAAAAGGTAAAATAGAATTGCAAACCTGGACACAAGCAAACTCTTTAAAATAAAATGCAAGCAAGATGTATTCCACTAAATAAACTTCGGTACTATGAGGATCAAACGATTTTTTATTAAAAGAGCAAGTTTACTGTTATTGTTGTTGCTGTTGTTATTGTTATTATTATTATTATTATTATTATTATAGTGTAGGGTTGAACTCAAGGCCTCATGCATGCTTGTCTGATGTTCTACCTCTAAGTTAGATCCCCAGACCTAAAGTATGAACTTAATGTAGATCACAAACTGGTGAAAGAGGTTTCTTCAAGGCATTGACTGAAATTTATAACAGACCTTACTGACAATTAAGACTGAAAATTGGATCCCTCTAGGAATACAAATAATAATAATGCTAAGACATATACAGCACTTTAAGTGCTTTAAATATATTAACTCATTTTATTCCCCAAAGAAATTCTGTGAACTAGTCATACTATTATTTTTATGTTTCAGGTATGGAAATTAATCATAGGTAGCATAAGAAAATTTCTCAATGCACATGATAGATCTGGAAATCAAACTCAGGTAGTTTGACTCCAGGACTCATGATCATGACTATTATGCTATATAAATGTACATTTACAAACAATTTCACTTACAGTTGTACAGGGTTCATGGAGCCTTGTAAGGCTATCCAGGTCCTAGGGAGCCTGGTCTACTGTTTCCAAGATGACTTGGGAAATAGTAGTTTGACTTTTATTGAAACAATTTAACTAAGACATGATTATGGCTAAATGCAAGGGTTACAGTAAGCCAGAGCTTACTGTAAAAACTCTGTAAGCAGCTAGAGCGATGAGAATGTGCTATTTTATTCCTAGAGCTTAGAAAAAGTACTGCCCAATAAAACAGCTAGTTTCCTATCCTTAAATACATTCTCTCCTCATTCCTTATAATAACAGTGTATTCCACTGTTCAAATTAAAGACTTATATTCTCAGCATTCATGCAGAAGTTTTGACCAACTGGATAGGGGCAGAAATGGTGTATGCAAATTCAAGATCATATGGTTAAAGGAAAGGGGTGATCTTTTCTATACATTCCCCATGCCCTTACTTCATTCTGTCTTTGATTATGGTCATGGTAGTAGGTCAACTACAACCATGTAAACAAAAGCAACATGTAAACATCTACTTTGGAACAACAAAGTAGATGAATCCTCATTTCTTAGAAGGCTTCTTAGTAGATGGCTTCCAAAGCAGCTCTAACTGTCTAGTTCTGGATTGAAACCAAACCCTTTTGCCTTACATCACTGTTACTTTGGTTCTGAATCTATTGTGCTTCTAAATTTTTAATAGATAAGCATGCTTAGGATATGGCCAATTTTTGAATGGCTGCTATCAAGAAAGCAACCACTAACAAATGCTGGCGGGGGTGTGGAGAGAAAGGAACCCTTCTCCATGGTTGGTAAGAGTGCAGACTGGTGCAACCACTGTGGAAATCAGTATGGAGATACCTCAAAGAACTAGGACTAAAGGTCTCATTTATTACTAGGGCTAAAGGTCCCAGCTATTCCTCTGCTGGGTATCTCACCAAAAGAATTAAAAGAGTCATACCACAGTGATATATGTGCACCCATGTTTATAGCTGCACAGTTTGTAATAGCTAAAGCTTGGAGGCAGCCCAAGTGCCCATCAACTGGAAACTGGATAAAGATGTGGGATTTTTTAAATAAAATGGAGTACTACTCAGCCATAAAGAATGAGAAACTAGAGACATTTATAGCTAAATGGGTGCATATTGAGGCCATATTCTCAAGTGAAATAAACAGGACACACATGTGTAAATACCGAATAGTTTCTCTAGTGTGAGAAACTGAAAATGTAAATAAGGATTAAAATGATTAAAATGAATAACTGATAATCTGAAATAGGAAAAGGTCCAAGGGTGTAGGGGTGGTGGGAGGGGAAGGGGAAAGGAAAAAAGGGAAAGGAAAAATTATGAGAAAAGAAAAAAAATGGAAACTAAATCTATGTAAATAGGGAAGGGTGGTGGGGGTGAAGGGTGCACAGGTAATGGGGAAAAAAATAAGAACCAAGACACATTATGTACAGGTACAAGCACCCAATGATAGATGTAAATGTATTGTATACCTAAAATGTACCAATAAAAGAATTTAAGGGGAAAAAAAAAAGTGACTGTTCTGAAGTTTAACACCACAGAATAGTTTTACCTGTCCTTCATCTTCACATAGAAGAAATTATGCAGTAAATACCATGTTGTCTCTGATTTCTCTTGCTCAGTTTAATGCTTTGGGAACTCATTCTTGTTGTTACTTCTATCAGTGAGTTTAATAGTATTACATGGCAGAATCTACCAGAATGTCTTTATTCATTTTTCTTCTGATATACATTTCAGTTGTTTCCATTTGGGACTTATAAATAATGAATTATAAATTTAATTTAGAGAAGTTTATGAATAAAGTTGCTGTGACCATTGTGGTAAAAAAAAAGCCCACAGCACAGTAGTTGAATAATTATGCCCCAATTAATAAAGAAGTAATTTTTGAAGATGGATATTTGAAAAGAGAATTAAATGAGAAAGCAAGCCATGAGAATACTGTTGTCCCTCCAAATCTCTGCGTTTCTCTGCATTCTGAATGCATGGATTTAACAAACTACAACATAGAAACATTACAGATACCTTTTTCATGTCATTATTCCCCAAACAGTACAACTATTTACAAATCATTTACATTATATTAAGTATTATAAGGTAACTTACAGATGATTTAAAGTATAGGGGATGATAAATGTTGTCTATATGCAAATAATATGCTATTTTATATAAGAAACTTGAGCATCTGCAGATTTAGGTAGCTCTGAAAGGTTCTGAAACCAATCCTCTGCCAAAATGGAGGGATGGCTATATCAGAGGATGATTTAACAAAACAAAACAAAACACAAAAAGCTAAGCTTCCAACAAGTCATATTCTCCCCAGGTTATTTTACAACTTAAAATAATAGATTAGCAATTTCCCAACCTCTTGAAATATTCCAACCAAATGCTTAAAAAGAAAGAAAAGAAAAAAAGAAAAGACAGAGAAGAAAAGCAAACTTATAACACTAGAAAAGAGATGAAAGTCAACTTCTTGCAGAACATGAATGAATCTCACTTTAAACAAACAAACAATGGATTTGTAATGAAAGCTATAATTAGTGAACCATAACTGCTATGATTCACCTAAAGCTACCAAGACAAAAGCACGTCTACTTGCCTAAAAATAGGTAGAGAGATCCTCCTGGAGTGACAATCTAAAGAAAACCTGGACTGAAAAAAAAAATTACTTCACAGGTTGAAAGGGGTATACTATTTCTGAACACTACATTATACTGGAAGAGGTTTATCATTTCTAGAAAAAAAACTAACATAAGAAGCCCAAAGATACATTATTCACACTTTTGACCTGTAGAAACTATGAAATAATGAACAATCCTTGCAGCTGCAAGCCTTTAAGTCTTGAACGCGCTTTCTGATAGTTTTGGGTAACAAAAGCAGTCTAGAAGTAGCAATGAGGAGTAAGGGAGTAATTATGCTGTATAAGAGATGTGAGACAGAAAAACCCACTGCTTGAAGAGAATGGGAGGTATGATTCTTTTGGGAAAAGTTAGGTTTTGATTAGAAAAGAAAAGAAAAGAAAGCATCTTTCAGAGAAGACATAGCAGATATAGACAATTTTGGTAATGTCTAACTGAATACCAGGGACAAGGTTTTTGAACTGGAGAGAAGTGAAAGACACAGTCAAAACAAAGGACATATGGAGATACATTGATTAGGGTCTCCTAAATAAGGGATAAGTCAAGAGACTTATAAGGGAGTGGCTGATATATAAGGGAGTGGCTGATATATACAGGGATAAAGGTATGAAGGGATTAAGCCCTGAGACTTTCTAGATACAGTAATGAAGCTGTGAGTGCTGTGGTAGAGAGAAGAGATAGGAAGGAATTTTCCCAAAAGAATAGTGTTCTATGTTTCCCAGTTGACTTTTGGTGATAAAGAGAAGACGCAGGCAGAGACAAATACAGAATCCCTCCTTTTCAGATTATATAGCATTCAGATGATAAGCCAGTGGGGAGCAGTCACACGTGGAGCACTTGGCACTATCACTGGAGAAATAGAGGATACTAAAGCCTGGCCTTGCCTTACCGCTGTTCTTTGGTGACAAGGC